CGGTGTGTAAGATATAAAAAAATTCATTTCATCGACACACATGTTCGATGAGCTTTACTAATACTGGATATAATCCTCCTCGCAGGTAATGCACAGCTGGTCAAAACTCATGAAAACCCGAGCACCGCTCCTAAGCACCAGACAGCTGCAATTGTGGCTAAGCATCGTAGACCATCGAGACCTAAGTGGCTTCTTGCTCTTGAGATAGTCACAGGATCAATGGTTGGTTTGCTCCTTCTGGTTGCACTTTTCTCAGCAGTTCACCGCTGGAACAAGAGATCCTCTCACATCATTCCTTGGAAGAAATCTTCAAGTGAGAAGGAAAAATTCACAGTCTACGTAGGTTAGAACCTTTCCAAAGTTCTCTAACTTCCAATGCAAAATCCATGGAGGAAAGAACTCAATAAGAAGTGGCTTTTTTTTTACTACAGATTCTGAAATGCTGAAGGATGTTGCGAGATTCACAAGACAAGAGCTCGAAGTGGCGTGTGAAGACTTTAGCAACATCATTGGTTTATCTGCAGATAGTCAGATCTATAAAGGAACAATGAAAGGTGGACCTGAGATTGCAGTGATCTCTCTTTGCGTCAAAGAAGAAGATTGGACCGGATACCTCGAGCTCTATTTCCAGAGAGAGGTAGCTTCTTCTGATGTTACATAGAACATCATGTAAAAAACCTGCTTTTGTTTCTGAGATTTCTAAGCCATTTTTCGCACGGTTTCAGGTTGCAGATTTGGCTAGACTGAACCACGACAACGCTGGAAAATTACTGGGATACTGCAAAGAGACCTCACCATTTGCAAGAATGCTTGTTTTTGAGTATACATCAAACGGAACACTATACGAACACCTGCATTGTAAATAATCTAACTTCCTCAGAGCTTTGTTGCATCATACTATACTAGTTTGGCTAGATAGCAATAAAATGATAAATGTTTCGATGCAGATGGGGAAGCGGCTTTAGTATCATGGGCAAGACGGATGAAGATTGTGATAGGCATTGCACGTGGTCTCAAGTACCTTCATATGGAACTTGATCCTCCATTTACAATCTCTGAGCTGAGCTCAAACGCAATCTATCTCACAGAAGATTTTACTCCCAAGGTAAAGTAAAGTGAGACCAGCTTGTTAACTGAACAATACATAATTAGCTAAGCTTATGTTTGCATTCTTTGTTTCTGGCTTTCTCTGGTGCAGCTGGTTGATTTCGAATGCTGGAAGACGATTCTTGCGAGATCAGAAACGAATTTGAGAAATATTAGTAGTCAGGGTGCGATATGCGTGCTTCCAAACGGAATGGAGAGCCGATATCTCGATGTATCGGGTAACATCTATTCATTCGGCGTCCTTTTGCTGGAAATTGTCAGTGGAAGACCTCCTTTTTGCAAAGACAGAGGTTTCTTAATTGAATGGGTAAGGGGGAAAAAACATTCTCCAAATGCTTTTTTCACCTTTTCACTTTTATTGAGATAAGCTTCAAACTTTGTTTACTATTTAACCAAACGTGTTTGTAATTTTGCGATCTCTGGATGTGAAAGTCTTGACGTTTTTCACCTGTTTAGTTTTATCGAACCTTGAATGTTGTTTTTCATTGCAAAAGTTTTGACCTTTTTACATGTTTGTTGCATTGTGCAGGCAAAGGAGTTCCTTGAAACGCCAGAGGCAATAGCGAGTTTAGTGGATCCAGAGCTGAAACATTTTAACCAAGAAGAGCTTGAAACGATATGTGAAGTGGCCAGACAATGCTTGAACCGGGACCC